AACAAAACACACACACACACATATATATATATATATATATATATATTTGCCTATGTTCATATATGTATTATATATTCACATGTCGTTCAATGTTATGTACGCGTGTAGATAATTTACCAGTGTGCAGAAAAATAAATAAATCGTTTTTCATGTAATAATAAAATATACTATTCCATTGTATTGCCATATATATATATATATATATATATATATATATATATATATATATATACGATTGTAAGCCAAATATATGTATCTATGAAATTACATGAAATATATATATATATATATATATATATATATATATATATATATATATATATATATATATATCTTCTTCTCTTCGAAAATACATTAACAAATGAGAGCATATTTTGTAATAATGCGTGAATATTGTCTTTTTTTTCGTCTGACACGGCATGTAAGTAATAATAATTTACTGTAAAAGAAATTCAACCTTAAATTACAGCTTGAATGACAATAACAAAGTGAGGTACGAGAAAGAAAAAAAAAACACATGAATGAATGCAAAGAAAAGTTAGAGATATAAATGTCAAAGATGTAATCATAATTACGATGATCCTACCTTTAGTAATTTTCTTTGGCCACTCTTAACGCTGGTTCGAACTTGTTAAAAAAAATCACCCAGCGTGACGATTACGGAAGGTAAATATCAGAGAGAAGAATGAATAACTTTTTTTTTTTCTTTTTTTTTTTTCTTTTTCTTCTTCTTCTTCTTCTTTTTTTTTTTTTTTCTTGGTAAGTAAATGACCAGAATAGGAATTACAAAGATGGTATATTAAATCCTCCGCTGTGTTGATGCTAGTGGTGTTGCTGACTTTGTCAATCACTTGACGATAACGACCTCGTGTAAACCTCTCATCCAAATACTTGCTTCATTCTTTGTTTTGTCTGCTACGGACGACATCCGTGTCTCTAACATCTATGCTGTAAGAAACACTGCCAGGCCTTAAACACCATCATTGGTAATTTTGTATATATATATAAATATATATCTATATATACATATATATATATATATATATAAATATAAATATATATATATATATATGTATATACATAAATATGTATTTAAATTTTATACTCCTTTATTTTGTTTATGAAAGGTCACTAAATATATTCATAACCCCGGCTCTTAATTCCTCTCTCATGGAAAGGGGACCCCATATTTTTATCTTGAATCTTTTCCCACATTCAGAATAAAGCGAACGACCGTGCATGTGCGAGAGTGTGTGTATATATATACATATATATATACATATATATAAATATATATTTATCATAAGTAGAATGTTGGATAATGTGTGTATATAATTCTATTACAGCATCATATCTACCTGTGTGTGTATCTGCATGTGTGTGTGTGTTTATGTACCGAAATCTCAATGTGGATTCGTTTGTTTACTCATATATAAAATTGATTTTTTTTTCTTTCTTTTTTTCTTCTTCTTCTTGGCTGTGGAGGGGGTTTTACGAAATATTTTTTGCTCCTTGAAAAAACGCTGAGCGATATCAATACTCCACTGTGAGTAAAGTCCATGTGTCCAGCATTACACCGATTGAGCCAATGCCGACATGTTAGTGAGAGAAAAAGCTGGGTAGAGTGACCGTTCTTGGTTGGTCTAAAACGTCTGTCTCTCTCTCCTTCTTTTCTTCCTCTCTGTGCGTAGGTGGCGACGGTGGACGCGCCTCAGATGGCGATGTTTACTCCACTCGACTTGTGGCAGCTGTTTTGTGTAAGGTCCAAGCAAGGGTCGGGTAGATCTCACGACGGAGAGACCGATGTACAAAGATAGACGAGGATAAAGTGCATCAATAGACAAGAGTAGAGAGAATGATGTGCGGTCTATGGCAACGTTACGTCCGTGTGTGCAAATTGTCGTTGAAAATAAGCTATATGTATGCGAGCAAAATTAAACGAGAAGGCTGTATATCTGGACGGCAACTTAAAGAATTTGACGAGTGGAAAGGAGATTTTAGAAATGAAACAAAATACTTCGACTAGGATCTTGTGAAATAGGCGATTTAAACAAAAGCTCAAGGATTTACATGGAAATAAAGTTAAATGAAAGAACGAATTAAGCAACTGTAAAACGGAAAGAAACACATTTGATACTAGAGAAAGAAAAGAAAAGAAAAGAAAAGAAACACAATAAAGACGGTGAGATTAATAAAAAAATACAGTGGATGGTTTTGAATGAACGAGAAAAGAAGAAAATAAAAAAGAAATGGTTACAGGTGGTAGTAAAAAAACATATTACTAAAGAATGTATAACATGAATAATATTTAAAATATCTTAATCGAAGGTTATACAATAAGAGGTCTGTGGTGGCCAAAAAAGAAAAGCAAAAGCCTGTTAACAAAACAAAACAAAACAAAAAAAAAATACTACCAAGGATTTTAAAGAAGATAAAAAGGGTGATGAGGAAGGGATGGACCCAGAAGAAGGAGAAGAAGAAGAAGAAGAAGAAGAAGAAG